CACTAGAAGCAACTTAATTGAGCTAATGTTGCTCGTGGTCCAATACTCGTGGATGGCCCAAGTTGTGGTTATTAATTGAATGTTGATATATGTTGGTGCATTTAGTGAACTTTGGCCCAATTGAAATGACCTAACAAGTGCTATACACATCCATCTCTTTTAAGTCGTTGTGTATGCTAGTTTGTGAGAAAGAGAGAAAAACGTGAGGTTTGGCCGGTTTTAGTTCTTCTTCCTTTTTCCAATTGCTACTCCATTTCCTCTTCCTTTGTGGCTTGCAAACCAATCACCAAATGTATCCTTTGTGGGTGAGTAAACTTGTGGCAACCAAGTGTTAAAAGTTATGGGTCGAGCATCCTCAGTTGGTGCTTGTTTGGTTGATTAAACTGAGCTCGGATCAAGATTTCTTGAAGATTTCCGCGACATCTCTTATATCCCTATAAACCGACACAAGGCTTGTTCGAATGGGAGTGATCTGACCTTAGAAAATGGCATTAGTCCATGCTATCCAGATCATATCCATACGCCCGAAAAATGACTACTTTCCAGATTTTACACATTTGAGGCCTCAATCTACACTTTAATGCACTTGGAATCATATTACCAACCTGTCTGATCCAGACCAATTTATGTTACCCCACTGATAGTACATAACGTCCAGACCAATTCATCGCATGAAGTAGCAAAAGGCATGGCTCAGACATCCAAAAGTCAAGACCTCTTCGCTAGACCGGAGAAATGTATAAATGAGACATCCAAAACTAATTGTCATGCCAGAATCTAACTTTTGAGTGCTCTCCGACTAGCCATTTGGATTCTTCCAACAACAGAATCTCCATATAAGAACATTCATTTGAATTTCTGAAGCAAAGATCTATATAAAGACATCAGGTTTTTGATCCCTGGACCGCCTCCACCGCATTAAGAACTTTCATTTGAATTTCTGCAGCAAAGATCTATTTAAAGACATCAGATTTTTGATCCCTAGACCGCCTCCACAGCCTTTTCCAGGCAACACTTAATGCCACGAAACTGTAACAGGTTTCTTGCTACCAATAGAGCACGTCCACAAAAAAAATTTGAATAGCTGAACTCATGTCTTTTAGCAATCACTACAACAAAAATAGCCAGTTGCAACATTAAAAAGGCAACATTTGTATGACAAATGTTGCCAAAATGATCTTTTGACAATATTTTAGTAAGTGAATGTTGCCATTAGTATTAATAAATGAGTTTTGGCATCGTTTTTTAGAAAAATGTTGCGATAGACACATTTAGTAACGTTTATTGAATGTTGCGAAATGTTTTACCTTTAGCAACGTTTGTCAAACGTTGCGAAAGGTGAGACTTTTCGCAACGTTTGATAAACGTTGCTAAAAGTCACATTTCGCAACACTCAATAAACGTTACTAAAAGTCACATTTCGCAATGTTTGACCAACGCTGCAAATAATATTCTGGCCATTTAAATGAACCCATCACATTCCAAATTAAATTATACATGGGAACCAAAAATAACCGTAATCCTAAACTCATTCACGTTTCCATTTTTGCCGCCACCAATTTTCCGGCGACTTCCAGCCACCTAGATCGCCGGATATTGGTACCAACATAACCTCCTCAACATCCTCTACATTTCTCACCCAACAACTCCCATTTTCATCTATTAATCTACACAGTCCCGAATGTCGCGACACAAGCTACATTTTTCGTCGATTCCGGCGCCATCGAGACGAACCGCGGTCTCGGACCACCTGGGCTGGGTTTGCCTTCACTTGGTGCACCTAGCCCAGCCATGGGTCTCCCCCAATTTGTCCTCTATCAGCCTGATTTTAGTTCGAGGTTCAGTTTCAGTTCCCCTATAGACAAACGTTGGTATGGGAGATGGAAATGGAGGTGAAGACATTAAACTTCCCATTGGGTTCGGATTCCGCCCCACTGATGAAGAAGTGCTTCTTCACTACTGGATAAGAAAGATATACTCTTTGCCATTGCCGGCCACCATCATTACTCAACTTGATGTTTCCAGCTTCAATCCTTGGGACTTACCTGGTATGTAGTAATAACTTCATTTCGTTTACTTACTGCCATTACACACGTTTTCATTGTACAAATCCCTCTATGTATTTAAGGTGATTTGAAGGAGAAGAGATATTTCTAATCGCAGCAGTTTCAGTGCTAGCTGTGGTTACTGGAAAGCCACTGGTCAAGACAGCCAAATTGTGGCTCCTGGAACGAATCGAGTAATTGGAATGAAGAAATCCTTGGTCTTCTATTAAGGCAACTATTATCGTGGTTGTGGGATCAAAACTCTATGGGTTATGTATCAATATTGCATTCTGGCCTCTCTAAGGTGCGCCTCTTATAACGTTTTGTGATAATGAAGCAATTAGAGGCCGGTCTATATTAATTATTTGGTTAAGGATAGACACTAATTGCTTTTATCTCTAGATTATTTGTCCTGTTTTGCAATTTCATTTGCGCCTTAGATTTAGTCCTGATTTTTCTGTTGAGTTTCTTTAGAGGGATTAAATTATATTATTATTATTAAATTGGGTATTGTTTGATCACTAGTAAGGTGAGCGTTCAAATATATTTCAGTAGATTACCTTGCATAAGTCTGAAATTTTGAGTGGGTTATAATTTTTATATACTGGCTGAGGGTGGTGAAAAGTCCCACCACCTCTCTCACGGTGCCATGTGATGTGTGGAGGGTTTGCATGGAGACTCGATGCAAAGGCTGCCCTATCTTTAGGTTCATAAATGCTAATTAACTTTAGTGAATCGTACTCTGCTCTTGCGAATCATTTCTTGAAGACGGAAAAGAAATTGTTACCATTATAAAAAGGGGCAAATGGACTGAAATTCGTGAAAAATCAATTTGTATTTGAATAAAATTGTTGATAGTTTCAATTCCCAAGCCCCAACCTCATTCTGCCAAATGCAGCTTAATAGAGTTATACTTATTATGAGATTGATGATGTTGGAGTTTGGTATGATACTAAGTGCCTTGTGAGAGTACTAGTGATCTTGTCATCCCAAATTCTAGAGTGCTTTAGAAAAGTAGGCTGTTTTTGTCTGTTTAGTTTTCAGTTTATCACGATAATTTGAGGATATGTCAAGTTTTTTTTCTTTTTGGTAGACAATTTTCGGTAGCAATGATCTTTAACCTGAACTCGTATAATGAATGTCCCGAGAATCTATTATGTTAGTATAGAAAAGGAAGATATAGTTGTATATTGTGGAAATACAATAATGTCTAGTCTTTCTAAACTAACTTATAAGTTCCTTTTGCATCAATTGAATGAACTAAAATAATTTCTGTATTGTAATCATTGGTTAATAAAACGTCCTTTTTTTTTGATAACTTGAGTTAGTGACATTTATCGGCCATTCATAAATTGTGATTGTTTATACTATATTTGTTATTGTTGCTGGTGATTAGTAGGTTTTGGGTTGCAGAATTATTTATTCCTAGGTCTCAAGTGCCCTTAGTGGTATTAGGAAACAAGCTCATCATCAGAGAAACTCTGTAGAGGTTGGCTCAATTCTTAATGTTCTTGCGTAAGGAAGAGAAGAAGGCTGCTGAAAAACTTGCTGCAATCGTGAAAGCATCTGAAAATAAGAAAGAGAGTAGTTTATGTGTTCCGTTTATGATTGAGTTTTCACATTACCATTTTATTTCATTTTGAAACTCTTNTAGTGAGATTTACCTATACTAGAGATGTGAGAATAATATAAAATTCAATTTTAGTTCACACACTTGAAAAGAGCGAAAATAATAAGTTTGAGGGTGTGTGAATCTTACGAGTGATGAAAGAACATATTTGACTATTGAGGATCGAGAATTGAAACAACTTATGAATTCATAATGCCATGCTTAATTCTTTACACACACATCGATTTTACATTGGAAAAATAGATTTTAATTCCTGTATTGTAATTTTGAAGCTGTGCATATATTTGTTATTATGATTTCAATCCCGAGATAAAAAGTCAGGTTAGCTAGTTAAATCTTGTTGCTTCACTTGATTGACTGCCACCAATTAAATAATTAGCATTGCGTGTTTGTGTATTTGTTAGGTTTTCACTTTGTTTCAGGACAAATAAAGATTCAAGTTTGATGGTGTGATAAGTGTAGTTTATACACTTATTTGTGGCATTAAATCATGATATTTTATTATCTTTTGTATTAAGAGTGTGTTTGGTAGGAATTTTTTGAGGAAGAATTGATTTTCAATAGTAATATGATGGAAAAAATGTGGTTGAAAAAGAAGAAAAAATTATTGATGTGATTGAAAATATTATTTTATTGAAAAATGTGTGGTTGAAAATGAGAATTGATTTACTGTAACAAAATGAGAATCTCTACCAAACAAGCCAATCATACAATTTTTAAATCAATCCATGATTGATTGATTGGAGATGCTTATATGAGATATGAGTTGTTTTTTTTCTTTTTGTCATAATTTTTGAAATTTTCTTATATTTATTTAACAAAAAATAAGGGTTTTTTAAAATCAAAAGTTCAAAATTTTTAACGGTTAATTGGAAGATAATCATCCAAAAGGATCAAATCCGCCATTTAGTAGAATGTTAGGGATGTTTGCACATAAATCCCATAGGCAAGGGACCACTTGTGCCATTCCCCATTTTCAAATAGTTCCTAAAGTTCTAGACCAGATCGTCCCTAAACTCTGTGTTTGGTGAGCAATTGGTTATTTTTTGAAATATAATGAATGTCCTTAATTATAACTAGGAAGATGCAACTTCTTCCCTACAGGTGTAAGGTTGAGAAGTACAAGAAATTCCAGAAAACGAGAAAAAGCACGACCAAAATTTGTAAATATGAATCAAATTTATTCTCTCATAACGTTATGTGCATACAAAAGAATATAATAAACATGAGAAATCATATAATATCATAACAAATCCATAGCTGAATCCACACCCGAAATCAAAAGCTGAATAGAAAATACAAAAGGAAATCAAATTGCTCGATACTCAATGCCTCAAAAGAGCGAAAAGTGAGAACAAAAGAGATGTCCCAATGACGGCGCCAGAGACTGGCAAAGAGAATGCATCTCCAATATCGGGAGATGGTGCCGGCGCCTGAGCAGAAACTGTAACAGCAGCAGCGGAGAGAACGACGAAAGCGTAGGCTAGTAGGAAGGACTTCGCAATGCTAATTTGCGCCATTGGTTTGTTTGAAAGTTGCCTGAAAAATCAAAAAGACAAAATTGCGGGTTTGTGTGTTGGTGTTGAAGGATGGTTTTTGGCATCGTATTTATAGAGGGGGTAGTGGGGTCCAGTGACAGCTGGTGACAAAGAAATGATTGGTTAGATCATATGAATCACAGGTCAGAACTTTGAGTGTGAAACGCTGGAATGGAGTTGACATGTCTGTTACGGCGCCGTATGTATTTTACACGTGTCATCAATTAACTGGGCGTATTTCTATACAGTCTGAAGATATTTGTATTGTTTTTCTTTTCTTATCGTTAGTCTATGATTTTTGGATGGGACCGCTCTAGCTTGACAGACGCACGCACGCGTGCATCTGTCGGTCGTTTTAAATTTCTGCAAAAATAATGCTATCATTTTAAATGGCAAGTGCCACGCTAAAAATTATTATCATTATGATATTTTATAACATGATAAAAATTAGTGGAAATGGTAAGAAATGTCCACTTTCTTGTAGCCACTTGTAAAAATGATAACTTTTAAAATTTTTTGCAAAAATGGCCATTTTGGTATATTTTAAACTAAAATATCCATGATCAACAATTTGTGATTCCATTCAAAAACAATAAAATGCACATTTGTGCAAAAAAAAAATAAAAATATGGACTAATGAAATCTTGACACATAACCTATTCCATTTATTGCAAATGACAAGATGTAAAATCATAATTAATGCTATTTTTTTGCGTTGACACAAGTGTAGAAAAATGTCATGTTTGAAATGAAATATCATTTTAGACATTTAATATGTCGAGAATGACGTTTTGAAATGTCGAGAACATTTAATATTGTGATTTGACGTGTGTACTATTGAAATATAAAACGGGATTCAAATGTCGAGAATGACATTTTAAATGTCGAAAATAATCGAGAATGACATTTAAAATGACGAGAATTCGTAGACTCAAATGTCATTTTTTTTCATTAAGGATATAATAGACACTTTAGTATTAAATTTGAAAATTGGATACTTTTTAACTCACACCCTTAATTGTGGACATTCTTGAAAAATACCTCTAAAAATTATTGTCAATTTGATTTGACAATTCGCTCATTCTTAATGGAATGAACTACAAATTGAAATAATATACAAATGCATCATTATTTAAATTCTCGCAAAAAATAATTTGAACCAAAAGTTCGAAATATAATTTATTTAGATGTATTTACTGACTGAAGAGATCAACAATATTTCATATACCAACTTTAAATACTCCAATTCGAACTAAAGTTCTAGATGACAATTAGGTAATATTATATTTTGATGGCACGTTTGAAGTGTGATGATATTCGATTTTTATATAAAAATCTTCAAACGAAAACGGAGCAATTAATAAACATGATCCTATTAAAGAGTCATATACTCTTTATGAGTATTTGGATATAACAAATTATAAAATCTCATAAAAGATTTAAGTACCTGAAATAATGAAAATCAAAATATCTCAATAAATGTCATTATGTGAAAGAAATATAATCAAAAAAGAAAAGAAAAGATTGTCGAGAACACTTTTGCACATGTTGTATCGCATCATATTATAAATAGCGAGGAATCAAAATAAATTCGTCGAAACATATCAGTCGAAGTAATAAATGGTCAAATAAAATGACGCTATCATACTAAAATTGAATTTACTAGAGAAATCCTAATAAAATTAAATTTACTAGAGAAACCTAAAGTTTCTGGACCTACAGTTCGCAAAACTAAAGCTATATACTTATGTGGAATGAAAATTGAAAAAGTAAAGTCGTAATATGAAATGTATGACTCTTTACTTACTGAATTTTGCAAAAACATGTATAAATAGATATTATCATGTGGTGGATGTATCACAGGTCTCTATTTCATTAGTGTAACAATGTATGCAATTTCATTAGTGTGACAATGAATGCAATAGCTGAACTCACGTCTTTTGCAATGAAATATGTACTAATTAAACATCAATTTCATATAGATTGAAATCTTTCAATATCTTTTTTACCTTTTTTATTGTCACATAAGCTTGACAAAGTCTCTATCAACTGATGTATTTTTATAAAGCCTCTATTTTACTTCAATAATGCTGAACAAACAGGGAAAAAAAATACTGATGTGGCAGCCCATGATTGAGTATTTTTATGAATTTTTTTTCCATTCTCAAGTGAAAAATTGCCGAGTGTAGTCTAGAAATACTTTTCTGTAATTGACACTAATCATGTAGCATGATTTATTTTACTTATATGATACAATTTTTAAATCAATCCATGTTTGATTGATTGGAGATGCTTGTATGAGATTATTTGGTAAGATGAGTTGTATTTTTCTTCTTGTCATATTTTTTGAAATTTTCTTTTGTGCTTATTTTCTTATATTTATTTAACAAAAAATAAGGGTATTTTAATTTTTTTAATCAAAAGTTCGATATTTTAACGGTTAATTGGATGATAATCATCCAAAAGGATCAAATCCGCCATTTTGTAGAATGTTAGGGATGTTTGCACGGAAATCCCATAGGCAAGGGACCAGATCGTCCCTAAACTGTTTGTTTGGGGAGCAATTGGTTATTTTTTGAAATATAATGAATGTCCTTAATTATAACTAGGAAGATGCAGCTTCTTCCCTACAGGTGTAAGGTTGAAAAGTACAAGAAATTCCAGAAAACAAGAAAAAGCACAACCAAAATTTGTAAATACGAATCAAATTTATTCTCTCATAATGTTATGTGCATACAAAAGAATATAATAAACACGAGAAATCATATAATATCATAACAAATCCATAGCTGAATCCACACCCGAAAACACAAAATCAAAAGCAGAAGAGAAAATACAAAAGGAAATCAAATTGCTCGATACTCAATGCCTCAAAAGAGCGAAAAGTGAGAACAAAAGAGATGTCCCAATGACGGCGCCAGAGACTGGCAAAGAGAATGCATCTCCAACATCGGGAGATGGTGCCGGCGCCTGAGCAGAAACTGTAACAGCCGCAGCAGAGAGAACGACGAAAGCGTAGGCTAGCAGGAAGGACTTCGCAATGCTAATTTGCGCCATTGGTTTGTTTTGAAAGTTGCCTGACAAATCAAAAAGACAGAATTCGGGGTGGGTTTGTGTTCACCGCAATTTCCTACCAAAAACCGATTGTATTTATAGAGGAGGTAGTGGGGTCCAGTGACAGCTGGTGACAGAGAGATGATTGGTTAAAACATATGAATCGCAGGTCAGAATTTAAGCGTATTGGATTGTACACGTTTTATCACTTAACAGGACATATTGCTGTACGGTCTGAAGAAATTTGTTTTTGCTTTTAAAAGATGGATGGTTGAAAATGAGTAAAAGAATAAAAATGAAAATTTTAGTCCCTGTTTGACACCCATTTTAGAGAAAAATTAAATTTTAGAATAGTGATTGATGGAAGAATGTATAGTTAAAAAATAATGAGAATTTTTTGGTTTATGTGCGGTATTATTTTATTGATAAAATGTGTAGTTGAAATGAAAAAAGAGAAAAAATAAGAATCAGAATGAGATGGGTGTCAAACAGGGGCTTAATTAAAAATCGTTAGTCTATGATTTTTGGATGGGACCGTGTCACAGACGAACGCGTGCATCTGTTGGTCGGTTTAAATTTCTGCAAAAATAATGCTATTATTGTAAATGTTAAGTCAACTAGTAAATGAAAAACGTATTCCTCTAATTTTAGAAATTATTATATCATTATAATTGATTTGACAATTCCCATCATTTTTTAAATCCTCGCAAAAGGCAATTTGAACCAGAAGTTCGAAAGATGATTCATTTATTACCACTAAAGAGATCAACAATATCTCATACACCAATTTTAAATGCTCCAATTCGAACTGAAGTCCTAAATGACAATTCGTTAATATTATATTTGATGGCACGTTTGAAGTGTGATGATATTCGATTCTAATATAAAAATCTCCAAAGGAAAATGGAGTAATTAGTAAAGATTATCATATTAAAAGGTATATACTATTTATGAGTATTTAGACATACAAATTATTACATCCCATAAAAGGTTTAGATACTTGAAATAAAATCGAAAAAGAAAAGAAAATGTTGTCGACAACACTTTTGCACATGATGCATTGCATCATATTATGAATAGCGAGGAATCAAAATAAATTCGTCGAAACATATCAATCGAAATAATGAATGGGCAAATAAAATGACGCGATCATACTAAATTGAATTTATTAGAAAAATCTAAAGTTTTTGGACATGATCCTAGTAAAAATAAACTTACTAGAATTCAAAAACCTAGAGTATATACTTATGCGAAATAAAAAATGGAAAAGTAAAGTCGTAATATGAAATGTACGACTCTTTACATAAATGCTCCAATTCGAACTAAAGTCTTAGATGACAATTAGTTAATATTATATTTGATAGCACGCATGAAACGTGATGATATCTAAACGAAAATGGAGCAATTAGTAAACATTGTCTTATTAAAAATGTATATACTCTTTATGAGTATTTAGACATAACAAATCATAAAACTTGATAAGATGTTTAGGTACTTGAAATAATGAAAATTGAAATATCTCAATAAGTTATGTTATCATGGAAAAAGAAAATATTGTTGACAATACTTTTGCACATGATATATTGCATCATATTATGAATATGTATGAATCGAAACAAATTCGTTGAAACATATTAATTGAAGTAATGAATTGACAAATAAAATGATGCAATCATACTAAAATTGAATTTACCATAGAAATTTGAAATTCTAGACATGATCTTTGTAAAATTAAAATTATTGGAGAAATCTAAAGTTTCTGGACCTACAGTTCAAAAAACCTAAAGTATATACTTATGCGAATAAAAATGGAAAGGTAAAGTCGTAATATGAAATGTATGACTCATTACTTAATGAATTTTGCGAAAACTTGTATAAATAAGAGCTACAATTTGAATACATAAATGTGTATATTTATGTGAAATGAAAATGGAAAAAGTAAAGTCGTAATATGAAATGTACGCCTCTTTACAGAATGAATTTTGCGAAAACTTGTATAAATAGATAAATTATCAAATGGTGAATGTAATCACAAGTCGATATTTCATTAGCGTGACATGCATGAAATTTGATGTGTATATAATAAATGTGATTATAAACAATTTATCTTGTATGATTTTGATACTATCCTGGAAGGATTTAATATGCATGAATCAATTTTCAAGTGATATTATCATGAGGGCGTAAATATCCTTTATACTCTTTTTTTCCTTGATCAAGGTTTTGCCTCATTGAGTTTTCCAGCAACGTTTTTAACGAAAATTTTTGTAGCGTACTCAAAAGAATAATGTATTCTTTTTTTTCTTCATTACGATTTTTTCTATAGAGTTTTTCTAGGTATATTTTTTGTATAATAAATGTCCATAATTAACCTAAAAGGTAAATTACCTTCAAAATAATACTTTAATATGTATGAAACTTCTGAAGAGATCAACAAGTGTTATTTTTAAATCATCATATTATTACAGTCGTCAAAGGTTGATAAATATCTCGTATAAAGACGGTGTTATTTGAAAATTATACAAAACAATATGAGACATGCTTCGTAAAAAATTGTAATATTGAAGACATTAACGTACAAGACAAGAATGGATTGATACAGAGCGGATGTACTCTTTTTCATTCAATCAAGTTTTGTCCGACCAGATTTTTTTGATAAGGTTTTAATAAGGCAGATATTTTGTAATGTGTCATTCAAAAGGGAATGTCGTAAATGGTAAGTCTATTAGTGAATAACAATTATATTCTTGTAACCCTAAAAATTATTACAATTGCATCCCCAATTCTTTTTTATAAATACGGGTATTTGGTTTTTAATAGAATACACAATTCTATTGGCTTATCTCTCTTTTGTTCTATTTTTTCTCTCTAGCTTATAATAGTTATTTGTATATAATGATTTACATATGGATGATGTGTTAAAAATAGAGCGGATAAGTTTTTTTTCATGTTTGGTTGAAATTTTTTTGACCAAATCATATTTCATCACATCATATGTATATAAATCATTATGTAAATTATTATGTACATGTAAAATAATCGTTTTTGCAATTCCAGCCGATCGACATGCGTGCATCTGTAACATTATCTGTACAATATATATAGCTCTATTCTTTTTCATTATGAAAATTTTCTAATCCATTTTTGGTTGAAACTATGTTTTCAATCGAGTTTTGATTAACAAATAATAATTCAAATTCAAAGTTCTATTTCTTTAAAAACTAGTTGAAGGCACGTGCAAG